GATACGGGAACATTTTAAAGCTATTTTCCTTTTATCTCTACACTGACATTTTTGGGTGTTTTGAACTGTCTTTAACCGGTCAGCAAAATTATTGAGCAGCTTTATTTATGATGTCCGTAGTTTCACGTAAAGTACTCGATATCAAAATTGCAGTTAGCTTCAGTTAGTTTCAATACTAACATGCTATGCGTAGAAAGCGTGTATTACGTACGTACGTGCTGTGACGTACGTGTTATCTGTCTGTTACGTACGACTGCTGTTTTTTATCTAACGCATTTGATCACTAACTGGATGAGCGATTGGTTGAATGTTCAGTGTGTTCGAGTCTTGATTGAGGAGACTGTGAAGTTAGCTTTTTACTAGAAAGTTGGTGTGACCTTCAGAAGTGTGTTCTGTTTGTTGATTAAACATTTGGTGAAGATATTTATTCGGTGAATCTATTTTTGTTTTGTCAACATTCAGCAGTTGTTAATGTCCGAATATAGGTACTTAAATTTAAAGTAATTTATCCCAAAATTACTTGTTCGTTAGTGCATAGTGCTCCGTATGGAGAAGCACGATGTGCAACCGACTAGGCTTAGCCTTGCAAATACCCCTTGGTTTTCTCATGCTGAGGAACGCACATGCATACTGCGAAATCCTTGCAGACCTGTTGAACGCTCAAAAGGAAACAAGAAGCTAGCTATAGTAAGTAACTGATGGAATTAAGCACCATAGTATAGCGCTTTCTTTCACGCATCCGCTGGGCGGTTACAATTGTGAAGAGCCGTGCCTGATGCACTAGTAAAATGGCCTAAAAAAACCGTTTCACATCCCGACCAGTCTTGAGTTTCTCGATGGTGCTAACCGTAATCATAGCCGTTGGTCCGGGACTTCAAATGCTTACTAAGAGGCAGTAAGAGCAAGAGCTTCGTTGTAACAGAAATCGCCGTATCTCCACTACGGAACTTCAGCCAGTGCGTGAAGCCGTTCAGTATAAAGCCGAAAATTCATTCAATGCAGTATCTGTATGTGTATGTTATGAAGGCGGAAAACGGGTGTCGTACGGACTACGGATAGCCTTCGGGCTGCAAGCCGTTTCTAGCCAATCTTCGCATAAACACAGGAAAGCGCAGATTCAGGTCCGTGTCTGTTGCAGATGGCGGTAAATCACAAGCGCTTATGTGTCTGTTGCTTGACGATAGCGCTTATGTGTCTCTGAATGTGGTGCTTTTATGAAGTTGAATCAGTATTCTTGTATTACTGCTAATGTCAGCACAATTCCTACAGAAAGAAATCGCCGGAAGCCCTTTCAGCGAAGACGTGGCGATCACACATCCGCCTGAAACGTTGCTGTGTTTTGTTTTACAGCCTATACATAAACACTGTGCACAGCCTGCCGCTGACAATTGTTTAGCACTTTTTAGAATTGCAGAGTGTTTAAACGCGCGAGAACGCTGTTGCACAACCGTTATTAACGGTAATATCATAATGCATTCGTTAGCACATTTCGCCCTGTGCGCACTTCTTCCAGCACTTTCGCACAGCGCCGCTGCAAGCAGCAAAGGTACCAGTTGAAGAGATTAGCTCTGACGAAACGATCTGTGGATAAACAGGAATAAATAATTACGAGGCTGAATAAAAACAGCGAATAATTGAAACGCTTCCTTTGATTAGCAGATGACGAATTGAACAGTGGCGGTGTCGGAATATTTTCGCCGCTGCCGGACTTCAACACGGAACTGATGACGCGCGACCAGTGCGAGCTGCAGTTCACAGCCAACTGCGGAGTGCGTACCAATGTTGGCAACTCGCCATTAACTGCAGCGACGCAGCGACTAGTGATGAAGTGCACAAATTAGCGTTGGCTCTTTCCAAGCCGCCGCTCAAGGCGGTCTCCATCAGTCTGAACGACGGACCTCAAATAACCTTCAACAACCTGGCACCGGTCCGTGAGCAGACCGTGGTCTTCCACTTGCGCAACTGTCGCTCGTCGCGCGCCACGAAAAAGCTGACCCAATTGCGCCTGCCGCATTTGCTGGAATTTGCCGCAAATGATTGTCGCGCGCTGGACGTGCGACGAGCGGACTTTTGGCCGTCGAGCAAACTGCGCCTGATTCAGTTCGTCAACAGCACGCTGCAGTCCCTCGAAGCCGGCACTTTCGCTGATTTGCCCGGATTGCGACTGCTCTCGCTGGAGCGCGGCTTCAGTCAAATGGAAACATTCCCGGAAGACGTCCTATTGTATCTGATGCGGCTGCATTGCGGTAGCGAGTTCGAGCCGTTCAGACGTTGGTGGCGCGTCAACGGCTTGTTGCAGCAGGCGACGGAAGGCGCCGTCTATCGCATCGAGTACGACTCATGGAAGAACGAAGACCTTAACAAAATGATGTGTTTCTTACCATCGACTGTGCAGCAACACCATTTCCCAACGGATCAGCTTCTGTAGGTTTTGCGCTCGAAGTATTTTCCGCTAACGAGGGGCTCCGTGAGTTATTAGATTCGAATTAAATTTTCTTTACAAATTCTTGCAGTACTTTGTGATGCAGTGCTTACAGATCTGGAAAATGCAACCGAAATGGGTGATGAATTCCCGACTTTTTCGAGCGAGCCGGTGACGGAGACCGAATGTCAGATATTGTCAATTGCCAAATGTTACTCACTACAGCGGAATTTTCGTAGCTGCAGGAATTATCCATTCACTCCGGAGAGTTACGGAAAACGACCGAAACCGGACTGTAGCAGCGAACCAGAGAAACGCGAAATTCGAGAGCTTGCTACCGCGATGGCCAAGCAACGGCAGCGACCAACAGTTCTGAGCATCATTGAGTGGTGGAATCTCACATCCGGTGATATAGCACCGATTCGGCTGTCGATTGTCATCCTCGACGTTTCCGGCTGCTCTGGCCGTGCGACGCAAACGGCTGGCAAACTCCGTCTGAGCAATCTGATTTACTTTGGCATTTGGGGCTGCAGCGACCTCGTTGTGCAACGAAGCGACTTCCAGCGCATATCGAAGTTACGGGAATTAGTGTTTGGCAACACTACGATGCGAAGCTTGGAATTCGACGCGTTCGGCGCTCTGCCCGACTTGCATCTGTTGGTGCCGGAAGCGCAGTTTTATTACCGCGCTGTTGTCGAACGAGGATTTTCGATGCGGATCCGCGATTATATCTGGCGACTGCACTGTGGCTGCGAGTTCGCATGGTTCCGGCAGTGGTGGGCTAATAGCACGCGGCTTTTGCACGGGGCGCAGGTTAGCGCGGGTGAGGTGTGGGCCTATCCGAACTATCTCAGAAGCCTGCCGTACAGTCGCGAAGATATGTTCCTGCCCATTGACTGTGCGGAACAAATTCCGCAGGTTGCCGAAAGCATCAACATGACGGAAACAACGTTTTCGCGACACGCAAAAATGTGTATTGAACACGAATAATAGCAAAATGTAAAGTGTATTAAACTGGCGCTCTTCTTTGCAAGTACAGTGAAACCCCCCGTAACGTACATCCTTTTATAACGTTCACCCCTTTATTATGTGCATATAGCTGGGAACCGGACTATCGGCAGGTACACACAAATTTATAACTCACCCCTTGGGGGGCGTTATTATTCGCCCCTAGGGACAGTGCCCCTAGCTAACGTATACCCCTTTGTAACGTTCTGGAAGCTAGGAACGGAGGGTGTACGTAGTAGAGGAGTTTCACTGTAACTGTTTCGCCAGAAAGGATTTTATTGACTGATATACTCGTTTTCTCGATCTTATTGTTGCAGCAACTCGATGTTCTTTGCGTATTAAAGCGGATGAATGTTGTCTAAGCGGTTCACCATGTGTGACTACCTGTTCTATCCAGCACCATGAGCGCAGCATAACTACGAGTAGACACATTTATCGGACGCAGATAAAAAATAGACAGATTTCTATACCTGATTTTATTTTTTGTACTTCTTCCGTTCCATTCGTACGAGTGCTCGCACTGGACGTACTAATAAATTTAGCCTTGCGATCTGGCCGCATAGTGAACCTGTTTTTCTCGATTCTAGTAATCATAATCACAGCTGCTTCGTGACGTCGCACCCTTTTCCAACATAACAGTCGATTGCTCCCAGGAAGCGCATTTATAAGCAATTCCAGTTGAGATGTTCTAGAAGCATCGTTTTAATACAAACACTTTATAAGCGACGCTGTCCTACGCATTACGCAGCCCCTGTGCGGCTGTAGCCTGTGTGTAATGCGATGTTAGTTTGTGTACTAGATTTTGACCTTTCGTGTTCTACAATATACAAGAGGAATTCGTCCCATTTATTCATATGCCCATAACTCATCACATCCTCTTGTCACAAAAGCAATTCTTCGCCATGATGGGATTGTGAACAGGAAATCGGCGTAATTGTGAATTGTGATTGTGACGACGTGGTGACAACCATATTATGGACTCCGTACTCGTAAACCACGGTAAATGCATGGATGGAAATCCCTAAGAACAGCAAAGAGCAGCAGGGCTGGTGGGTCACGACTATACGTAAGCCCGCCCTGACAATACTTCGCGTTAAGCCCTAATGACGTTTTCGAATTTGTTTGCTGCGACAACTCGACAATTACATACAAAACAGGTTACAAGTTCGCAAAAACTACGTAGTGCAAAAGGACCTGCGTGCAAAATGTTTGTGTCGGGAACGAATCGAAACTCATCTGAAAATACGAGAAATATCAGTTAGGGTGATGAAATACCCTTTGGTAAAAAAATGATTACCGACCGCAATAAGCAGAGGCGTTTGAATACATAAGCATTCTTTATTCGAAAATGACCGAAGTAACAGCCGACCATTTTGAGCTGTAGCTGTTATTCCATCACCTTAATTAGTCCCTAATGGGAGAAGAAAACAGTGTGAATCTGCGATGGCTTTTTGATATGTATACTGGCTGATGCTGCTGGCTGCATAAAAAAACAAGAAGAACACTTTTACACTGCAGATTAAAAATTATTTTTTTAAAGTACACTATAATTATGGTAAGCGGTAAGCGGCACTCGTCGAGCAGGAAAAAAATGCGGCTAAATATATTAATTGAAAAACCGGTTGTCCTGGTTTGCGGATGGCGAATGTTTGGCTCAGCAAAATGACAGCAAGGCAGAAACCTTTATGTATTTAAACGATAGTTTAAGGCTTAAGAATCATCGGTGGGGCCAGTGCTGCTGCGCTGATCTGGGCAGGCGAAGGTTTCTTCGCTGTGATAGCGGGGATAGCGGTCGGCCTCGTTGTAACCACGGGAGGTTTGCGGGTGGGGGATGCTTCCTCATCGTTGGCAGCATCGGAAGGCGGGCTGTAGGTCCCGGAGCATTTTGCGTTAAGCCACGGGCGCCCACCGTTTGCGCACTCGCAATGTCCGCGTCCACATATATCCGTACACTCTTCGGAAACGCAGTCCTTGTTCGTTGAACAAGGCCTGCCGAGGCAGGTGGGCCCCCGTTTTCCTACAACAAGGTCGCAAACGTTCGCGTTATCATCATATTGTTGACTCTAGCAATAAACAGCACGTTAAGGTCACTTACCGTCCTCAGCCGATGTCACACAGATCCATTCTTGGAAACACAGGGCTAAGCAGAAGAACACGTTAAAAATTCTCATGTTTCGCTGAGGGAAAGAGAGTTATATTTTAGAAGTTGTCAGTTTGAGCTGCAGTTTGTGGATACGAGCTTTATGTACCATTCGTCAAAGCCGCCGATCAGCTGCCTCATCACTCGCATATCGCGTCTTCACTGAAATCTGTTGTTGCTTGAATACCGCGGGTCGGTTTCGAGGACTTTGCTCTGAGAAAAATGCTGGCTGAAATGCAAGTCGGCGGCTTTTAAACGTGGCACTTGACGCATTTCCGACCGGTTGCGCGCCTTGATCGCCACATACAGGCTGGAGCCGCGTTTCCCATGCAAATGCATTGTCGCTGAGATTTGCCGATTCGGCTGCTTACCCAAGCGGCATCGTGACAAAATGGTAGTGTCAGGCCAGAGAATTTCTCTGGATTTTTGCCGCGCATCCTGTCGACAATTTCTGAAGTGCTTTGTACTGGGAAAGCCCGCTGACCGGCTTGTTTTCCGGCTGATTTCTGAGAGCCCGTTCTAGGAGTCGGGCTAAGGTATTCAGCTGTCATCCGCTTACGGTGAAGACGCTATTTCATTCTGCTGAGACAGTGGATTGTCAACTTTGGTGCATGAAATAGACACCCGTAGTGCATGTTGTCAATCGACATGTCACACCGATAATATTAAAATCATCCGATAACGGAGCAACGGTAGCGGTTGCAATATACGTATATGGATGCTCGAGCTTGCGATAAGGGATGCGCGATCATATGTTCAGCTGTACATAACAGAGAGCGAAATGTCTATTTTTCCCTACATAGTAAACCACTTTTACATATTTGTACGCAGTAAAGACATTTGAAAAATCTACAACATGCACAATTGTCACCACTTCATAAAATACCTTTTATTCATCAGCTCTTCGATCATGTCGGCATATTACGCGTTTATTGCGCTATGTAATTACATGCCTTGCTATGTCACATCATTACAACAACACTGCACTTTTACGCAAATCCTCATTCAAATTTCAGCGTAATTTACATTTATTATGTTTTAAATGCGGTCATTTCGTACCTTACCAATAATTATTACTATATACATATTTAGTTAATAGAGGGATGCCGTAATGGCTGCACCTACTTTAAGCTCAAGGGTTCGGGCAACAGTTTTCGTTTTTAATGGAATTGTGTTTAATGGAATTGGATTATTTCTTAAAAAGATTTATTTTTTTATTTTTTATTACTTTTTTATTTAATAATAATTTTACTTGTTTAACATAACAATTATTGTTAATAATAGCTTAAAAAACTTCTATTAACGAATTTATTTTTATTTTTCATATATGTGCACTTTGTGGTGAATTTTTGGTGACAGTGTGACAGTTTAACAATACCAGTACAAAGTATTGCAGTTCCAATAAAAACGGTTGCCCCGAGACACTTCGCTACTTTAAAGTATCTTGGCGGATACATGTATATGAGTTACGATCGCATTACTTTTGCGACCCAACAAGGCGCATCGCGCATAACAGGCTAACAGTAAACGAAGTGGAGAATAAGAGGAAGTAACTTCTTGAAAGATCTGCATTTGCCTTTAAAATGCTGGACGATTATTTTGCATTGTTGGACAATAATTTCGACGATATGGCTGCAAATAAATCACGGGTCGCTTCAAGCTACAAATTTTGGCAACAGCCACCAAAGTAGCACACGTTAATAAACTATTTGATAATTAAAATGTAGTTGTCAATTGGATAAGTGCTATATACCGGAAATTCGGAATTAGTCGCTTGCTCCATCTCCGAAATTAACGCCACGTGCGGTTTTAAACGCCCCGTACGCGCGTCGCGAAATAATAAACCCTCCAAAAATTATCGTTCCGGGGCGCCTGATATGTGAATTTCGGCCGACCAGTTTTCTTCAGTCTGTTGTTCTGTTATGGCGTGTACAAGATAAAAAGTAGACAATGCACAACGCTTGTCTTTATCCTCACTGCCGACCACGACACAATCGGGGAGAGCGGCTCTATCTCAAACTGGTAGAAAGTAGTAAATGGTAGAAGTATCCTTGATGATATGCGAAGGTGGAAGACTGGAACCCGGAATCCCTGCTGCAAACACGAGAAATTCACAAGAAGAAGGAGAGAATACGTTACCTGACTCACGCTAGATGTAAGCAGAGGCGATACAAATTTCCATCAACCTGGCGCTACACGGCATGAAGATCGAAGAGACCAAAAGGTCACAGACCGTAAAGGTCACGGGATGCAAGCTAGTGGGTAACCTATCACGATACAAGAATATCCGAAGATTATAATGCACGTCAACGAAGTAGAGGGAAAACCCCTGACATAGGTGAAAGGTCACCAAGAGGTCAGTTAGCAGGATCCTCACTTGGAAAAAGTAAACCAGAGCAAAAGTCTGAAGTTAATCAGGTCGAGAACAAGTCTCTACTTTTGTTGGAATGATAACTCTTGACATTTCTGTGGGCGACGAGTGCCTTATATAGTCTTGGGCACACGCAGGTGAGACTCTTCGTACGCGCAGGTACGGTTCTGAGAACAATAAGGATTTAGAGTCTAGCCAATACTCTACAATCACTGACACGTGGACTAATCAAAGGTGGCATCAACATAGCATTAACTAATCACAGAGAGAAGTCAGCTAGTACAACAGAACAATAGGTAAAGCTACGTCAGTGAGTCGCGGTCACGTCGAAATGGCAAGTTGCGGTCAAAGTTAGTTTTCTGCTGGACATTTTCAGAAGCGTCGACTCGGAGTCGGGGTCATGTCAGGAGTAGTCAGCGTAGTAAAGCCTAAGCCTGAGCCTCGGGGCAAAAGTAGTAAAGTACAGTAGTACCGATGTGGACGGGGCTAGTACACCCGTACACGTCAGTTATGTTAGCCAGCTACCAGGGATGCACACTGGCTGAATCCTGGTTTTGTGTCTTGATTATTACATAGTACATACTGTCTTCACTAATATATTTAATGCGTTGACATTATAACAACCAGTAACCGATAAAAACTAACCGATCCTGGCAGATATTATTTAGATCCATGTTAGTATTCAAACTGGTAGTTGTTGTTCAGTCAATTTTTTAGTGCGGTATTTCAGTGACTACACGGTGGCACCTAGGAACTAATTTTGTCGAAAGTTCAAGCGCATTTGCGTTTTTTTTATTGTGGATGAATATTCGCATCCAGTCTAGCTAAAGCGTTTTTTTCGTTTTGCTTCGTTTATTTGAACGAGGCAAGAATCATAATGTTTTTATTTGTAAATCATAATTATATCTGTCAGGAATGCCCGGGTGGGAACGCTTAGGTTTTTACAGTATTAACTAGCGCAATGCGCCTTCTGTTAATTTTATGCCTATCGGAAACCCATTTAACTGTGAACGATCCCGATCAGCTCTACTCGCTCCCTGACTATCAGGTATTTCGTAAAGACCGTACGAAAGCATCGGGTAAATCGCGTGGTGGTGGTCTCCTATTATATGTTCCTGCCCATATCCCCTGCCAAGAAATTCGGAGAACAGAAACATGTGGCCGTTGTGAAAGTTGGTGGGTTCTCCTTCAGATCGGACAACGTAAAATACTACTGGGACTTCTGTATAGAGCACCTGACGCAAACGCGATTGATACTGAGTTTCTGTTTAACCATGCGGATGAAATGCTTCTGAAGTATCCTGGTATTGATCACGTTGTCTGTGGTGATATCAATATAGATGTCTCAGCACCGTCTTCCCCTTTTTTCCGACATTATTCTGATTTACTGAACAACCATGCGCTGGAGGATAAAGTCTCGGGATTTACTAGGATAGCTTGTCGAATACGAAAGCGCGATGGTACGCTGATGCATAGTGCCAAAAAGATTGATGTGTTGCTGTGTTCACCAGCAGAATGTTACTCCTGTCTACCAGCCGATGATGTGTGCTTTTCGGATCACCGCCTATGCAGAACAGTAGCGTCCTACAAGTCAGTTTCTTCGATACACAAAACGATTACGTTTCGTTTATGGAAGCATACTCCTCTTGAAGCATTTAACGAGCGAGTTGCAGCTGTGTGTGAAAAGTATAATGTGTATGATGAGTCTGTTTCAATCGATAACGTTATTACCAGCTTTATCCAAGAACTGAACCAGATCGTAGATGAAAGTTTCCCACTGCGATCCCGGAGAGTGCGACAGAACGATCCCCCCTGGATGAGTCTATCACTGAAAAATCTTATTAAAGAAAAGAACAAGTGCTACCGCCGCAGGTGTCAACTCCGTGGGACAGATGAATACTCAATGTGCAACGCGGAATTCCACAGCTTGAAAAAGCAGGTCTATTGTATGATTCTGGACGAGAAGAGAAAGTTTTTTAAACAAAATCAGGATAAAGCGGAAGTTGTTTGGCGCGAGCTGGGCAGACTCCTTCGGAAAGGGAAGCAAAACGATGAGCCAACCTTGGATCCGAACGTACTTAACGCACATTTTGCAGCTCAGGGTCTGCACGGCAACGAGCACGCTGCCAGCCGCCCCTCAGGAGGGGGCAGTACTAACCCATTGCTTTGCAGATTCGAAGACGTTAACGAGGATACTGTATCATTCCTGATACAGCAAATGGCCAGAAAGAAAAAAAGCGCGGGCCCGTGCGGAATGCCTGGAAAAATCCTCGGTGAAATGAACAAGCACATGGCAAAACCGCTGACGGGCATGATCAACGCGTCACTCAAGGCGGGAGTGTATCCGAATATCTTCAAGAACGCTGATATCATTGCGATTCCGAAGCAGCATAGCGCAGCAGCCGGACGATTTTCGACCTATCTCGCTTCTCTGCAACCTCTCAAAAATCTTTGAGAAAGTCGTACAGAGCCAGCTCGTTGCAACCCTAAAAGCCAACAACATCCTTTCTGACAAACAGTCCGGATTCAGAGAGGGCCATTCATGTGAAACATTACTGTTGAAGATGTCAGAGAAATGGCGAAAAGCGATGGATAAGGGAGAAGTAACGGCCGTCTGCTTTCTGGACCTGAAGAAAGCATTTGACTCTGTTTCCCATGCCAAATTACTTGAAAAACTGCAGACCATTGGAGT